ATTTAAAGCATGATCTAGTGGCTGCCTTTCGCCGACTGTTAGCTCAAAATGGGTTTGCATGGCCCAGGGTAGAGTGTGAAACTCAACTTCAAATAGGATTATCAGATCAGCAGTTATCTCTTTGAGAACGGGAAGCAGATTAGATGGGCTGAAAGGCTTACGTCTGTTCTCATGTCTCATGGTCTTTTGCCAACATCCCTCAGAAACAGTAACTGGACTTCTCCCCAGTGATCATATCCATATCTGTACTCCGTAGTTCTTGCCAACTTCATGCAAAATCACTCGACTTTATAAATTCCACCTTTCTTGTAGGGGAAGCGACGGCCTAGTGGTATTATCGCTGGACCGTTAATCCAGAGACCCAGTTAACATTCTGGGGACCTGGGTTCGAATCCCACCATGGCATATGGTGGAATTTGAATTAAATATCTGGAATTAAAGAATCTAACGATGACCGTGAATCCATTGTCAATTGTTGGAAAAAACCCATCAGGTTCACTAATGTCCTTTAGGGAAGGAAACTGCCATCATAACCTGGTCTGGTCTATATGTGACTCCAGACCCACAGCAGTGTGGTTGACTCTGAACTGCCATCTGGGCAATTAGGGATGGACAATAAACGCTGCCTAGCCAGCGATGCCCTCATCGTGTGAGTGAATAAAAAAAAAAAAAATCTCTCCTTGGAATTGACTCTAGGAGTTCAGATATCGATCCGATAAATCTATGTCACACTTTATCCAAAGCCCATGATACAATATAAAAATGTCTTTTAACGAGGAAAGCTCACACATTCAGGCATTATGAAATTAACACTTGGGAAAATCCAAATGGTTACACTTCAATTTCAACACATATGGGTACCACACACATGCAAATCAGTGCTGTTAATTTCAGAAGAGTTTCAGAAAGTATAATGGCCCAGGGGAGAAACTAAACTCACAAATCAAGTTCAACATCTAGACTTCATAGAATAGACTTCACAGAACCCCCACAGTGTGCAAACAGGCCATTCGGCCCAACATGTCTACACCGCCCCTCCAAAGAGCATCCCACCCAGACCCATCCCCCTAATCTACACATCCATGAACACTACAGGCAATTTAGCATGGCCAATCCACCTAGCCTACACATCTTTGGACTGTGGGAGGAAACTGGAGCACCCCGGAGGAAACCCGCGCAGACATGGGGAGAATGTGCAAACTCCACACAGACAGTCACCCAAGGCCGAAATTGAACCCAGGTCCCTGGTGCTGTGAGGCAGCAGTGCTAACCACTGAGCCACCATGCTGCCTTGGCCATAGACGATCACTACCTGCTTTTCCTTCGACGATCCCATCCCCTCCAAAGGATGCTTTCAATGTTGTCTAAATCAGGATGGCACCACTTCAGCATCACAAGCAAAACAGACCAGAGTAGGAAGCCAATGGCCAAGTGGCTTTATCACAAGATTAGTAATCCAGAAACTCAACTAACGTTCTGGGGACCTGGGCTCGAATCCCACCATGGCAGGTGGTGGAATTTGAATTCAACAAGAAGGTCTGAAAAGAGTCTAATGAGGACCATAATCCATTATCGGGAAAAAAAAAATCTCCAGTTCACTATCTTAAGTGAAAGATACAGCCATCCTTACCTGGTCTGGCCTGTGACTTCAGACCCACAGCAACATAGTTGACTCTGAACTGCCCTATGGGTACTTAGGGATGGGAAATAAATGCTGGTCTGGCCAGGGACGCCCTCATCCCGTGAATGAATTCAAATGGGAAAAAAATAATCACAGTTCCAAGGGTTTCACACTTGGGCACTGTGGTTCTACGCAATGCCAATCAAAAGCTCAGGAAGTTATAGGCAGCGAGGGTGGCAGCTGTGGCAGAGAAGAAGCTACCTGTAGCTGCAAACAGGATGGTTATTCATTGACACGCTGAGGGGCGTGGGGACCTCACACCCACCTACGCAAACCAATCTGACACGCACCAGCCCCGCCAGGAGAGAAACACGTGCTTTTAATTGGAGATAACAAGGTGTAGAGCTGGATGAACACAGCAGGCCTGGCAGCATCAGAGGAGCAGGAAACCTGGCGTTTCAGGCCTAGACCCTTCTTCAGAAAAGGATTTTGAACAGGTCAATACAGGTCTAAAGGGTTTGCACCGCTGTATTGTATTAATATTACCCTGCTTGTGCCTAACTTCACCCTTAGATTTCTTCACAAAAAAAAAGATTTGTAGCCGTAAAACCATTTTCTTGTTAAAATCTGAAAACAAAAGAGAGTGTTTGAAAAAAAAGTTTTGTTTTTTTTTGTTTGGAAGTGCAGCGACTAATTTTTGACAATTACTCGATCCCTGAAACCACACACACTTGCAAATAGAGTATGTTTCATTCATTGGCACTGGGTCAAAATCCTGGGAACTCCCAGTACAACAACACTGTGGGTGTCCCTATGACACACAGATTACAGCAGTTCAGGAAGGCAACTCAGCACAAAGCCAACACTCCAGTGCAGTGCCGTACAGTCATACAACACAGAAACAAACCCTTCAGTCCTACTTGTCCATGCTGACCAGATATCCTAAATTAATCTAGTCCCATTTGCCAGCATTTGGCCCATATCCCTCTAAACCCTTCCTATTCATACACCCATCCACATACCTTTTAAATATTGTAATTGTACCACCTCCACCACTTCCTCTGGCAGCTCATTCCATACACACACCACACTCCATGTGAATAAGTTGCCCCTTTGGGCTCTTTTAAATCTTTGCCCTCTCACCTTAAACCTATGCCCTCTTGTTTTGAACTCCCCTACCCTGGGGAAAAAGACCTTGGCTATTCACCCTATCCATGCCTCTCACGATTTTATAATCCACTAGAAGGTCACTCCGACGCTCCAGGGAAAATAGCCCCAGCCTATTCAGCCTCTCCCTATAGCTCAAACCCTCCAACCCCTACAACATCCTTGTAAATCTTTTCTGAACCCTTTCAAGTTTCACTATACCTTTCCTACAGCAGTGAACATAAGCACCATGGTCACAGGTAGTGTCTCTAGCCCTCCTCATCTGGTTACTTAGGCAGCTGGAGGAGGTGCTACAGAACTTTTTAAGACGAGACGGGGAGTTATCTTCAATGTCCAGGTCAGTATTTATCCTCCAGTCAGCTTGTCTAAAAACAGATCAACCTGATCGTTGTCACATTGCCGTCTGAGATTTTTTTTTTGACGCTAAAAGGTTCTGACTTTACTGCAGAGACCACATTCCAACTGACGGTGGTTAAACGATTGTCTTAGTCCAATTAAATTCAGACTTCACCGTCTGCTCTGGTGGGATTTGAACCCGTCCCAAGAACCGGAGCTCGGCATCCTGGATTACTAGCCAATGACATTACCACCGCCTCCCTGTTGTACACACCGTGTATCCAGTACCTTTTTGCTGGTGCTACCATCACCGATACAGACAGGTAGAACATGCACAGCAATGTCCCACAAAGAACGAGATGCCACGTGGTTTAAAATAGATGGACTACCCAAAAATCTGTGGCTCGAGGGTGACTTGCACTTCACCCAGAGGCTCCGTGTCCTCACTGCTCTGATTTACCAGCAGAATTATCCAGGGTCAGTGGGGGGGTGGGGGGGTTCTAACCTTTAATCTTTTTGTTTAAATGGAACAAGAAAGCATTGATCCCTTGCACATCCTAAAGTAAGGAAAATCAGTAAGTTGAGAAACTCCATTCAAAGCCCTCACTGAACTTTTTTTTAAAATGTGAGTAACTACACACACACACAAAGTGGAAATGCAGTCTTGATCATTTCTGAATTATCAGACGGGTCGGGATTGACAGTAAAAGCTGGCCCTGCCAATATTCCCATTTCCCATGAAGGAATTTTTAAAATAAAAGACAGATTTTAAAAACTTTACAGTATTGTTGAAGGCTCCTTCAACACTGACTTGACAATTCCTAAAAGGAATGTATTCTCGGCTTTTGTAAGGTTTATCTTTAAGAGGAGAATGGGGGAAAAGAATAACATTTCCCACACTTCTGCCCTCAAAATCCCTCCCCCAACCAAAATAAAGACAGAATCCCCCTTGGCCTCACATATCACCCCACCAACCTCAGCATCCAGCGTATCATTCTCCGCCACTTCCACCACCTACAATCTGACCCTACAACCAAAGAGATATTTCCCTCCCCACCTCTATCTGCCTTTCGTAGGGACCGCTCTCTCCATGACGCCCTCGTCCGCTCCACACTCCCCACTAACCCCACCACCTTTCCCTGCAACTGCAGGAAGTGCTACATCTGCCCCGACACGACCCCCCTCACCTCCATTCAAAGCCCAAAGCAAATCTTTCATATCCAACGGGGGTTCACCTGTACATCCGCCAATGTGGTCTACTGTATCCGTTGCTCCCGATATGGCCTCCTCTACATCGGTGAGACCAAGCGCACACTTGGGGACCATTTCATAGAGCATCTGCGCTCTGTACGAGATAATTGACAACACCTTCTGGTCACCAACCATTTTAATTCCCCCTCCCACTCCCTGGACGACATGTCCATCCTGGGCCTCTTCCAGTGCCACAATGACAGCACCAACAAACTGGAGGAGCAGCACCTCATATTCTGCCTCGGGCGCCCGATGGCCTGAACGTAGAATTCACCAGTTTTAAAACCTCCCCACCCCCGGCCTCATCCCATGTCCAAGCCTCCCTCTCATCTCCACCTCGCTGACCTGACACAACCTGTCCATCTTCTCTCCCACCTATCCGTCCCTCCCACTTCACTGACAAATCCATACCACTGCCTCCCTGCACTCACCTATCACCATCCCACCTACCTTCCCCAGCCCCACCCCTCCTATTTATTTCCGAGCTCCTTTCCTCCTCCCCCATTTCTGAAGAAGGGTCCCAACCCGAAACGTCAACTTTCCTGCTCCTCTGCCTGGCCTGCTATGTTCCTCCAGCTCCAGCATCTGCAGTTCTTGCTATCTCCGAGAATTATGCTGCCCTTAGCCCACCTACCGAGGGTGGTGTCGTGTACAATAAAGCAACATGCCTACAATCAAGATGTCCCAAACCAAAACTGCAGTGGAACCTACGTCCCTTCAAAATCACCATTAAATATCTGCTGGAATTGATGTGGAAGTGTCAGTATTGGACTGGGGCGGAAAAAATCAGAAGTACTTCTCCTGACAAAGGGGCCACGCTCCAAAAGCTTGTGATTTCAAATAAACCTGGTGGACTACAACCTGGTGTTGGGTGACTTCCGACTTTACTGGAACTGAAGGGAAGAATAGAGAAACAGAAAAAGCACATAACTTGCCGGTAGTGAATTAGTGATAAAAGGGATCATGAGCAGGAGTAGGCCCTACACCTCCTGCTCAGCTGTTTGATAAGACGCTTCGGTCATGGTTCCATCTCCCACTTTCCTGTAATTCTCAACTCCTTTCTAATGCAACCTTGAGGAATTCGAGACTCAGCCTCCATTGCTTTCTGGGTGAGAGAATTCTGCAAACTAACAACTCTGAGATGGAAGAATATGTACCCTCATGTCCATCTTAAAGCAAGCCATCTGAGGAATTTAGTTGTGCATACGTTTGGCTGACAGCAAGCATGGCTGTGTTCACTTTCCCTTTCTTTAGGGCATCTCATGTTAACTCTGTCTCCCTCTCCGCTGATGCTGGGTTTTCATATAGTTTTCCAAATTTATTTCCAATCTCCAGCATTTGCTGTATCTGCATTTGGTTGCTACAAACTAAGTCACTCTTAGCCAACAAAGTTGTGCATCACAAAATATACAGGAGGGTGTAGGCTACCAAGGGTTGAATTAGACTTTCAAATACTGAAAGGCCTGGATAGAGTGGACCTGGAGAAGATGTTTCCACCAGCAGGATCGTCGGCACAACCTCAGTGAACGGACAACCCTTTAGAACTGAGGTGAGGAGGAATTTCTTCAGTTAGAGGGTGGTGAATGTGTGGAACCCATTGCTACAGAGGACTGTGGAGGCCAAGTCATTTTGTACATTTAAAACAGAGATAGACATGTTCTTGATTAGGAAGAGGATCAAGGGTTAGGGGGAGAAGGCTGGAGAATGGGGTTGAGAAACATTTCCACCATGATCAAAGCAGACTTAATGGGCTAAGTGGCCTAATTCCACAACTATAAAAAGAGGGAACTTGTGCTTGGAGGCAGAGAATGTGGGCGAGATCCTAAATGAGTACTTTGCATCGGTACGCACCCGGGAGAACGAAATGGAGGATAGTGAGATTTGGAGATAGTAGGAACTGCAGATGCTGGAGAATCCGAGACAACAAGGTGCAGGGCTGGATGAACACAGCAGGCCAAGCAGCATCATAGGAGCAGAGAGGCTGACATTTCGGGCCTAGACCCTTCATCAGAAAAGGGGTTAGATAGTGAGATTTGTATGCAGCAATTTGAAATCAAGAAAGGAGTGGCATTGGATGTTTGAAGAGCATTAAGGTGGATAAGTCCCCAGGGCCTGATGGTATTTGCTCCAGATTATGGAGAAAGGCAAGAGAGAGGAGATTGCTGTGGCCTTGACCAAGATCTTTGTATCCTTGCTGGCCACTACAGGACTGGTGAGTAGCTAATGTTATTCCTCTGTTCAGGAAGGGAAATAGGGATAATCTAGGAAACGACAGACAGGTGAGTCTCACATTGGTGATTGGGAAGCTATTGGAGAGAATTCTTAGGATAGGACTTACACATATTTGGAAAAGCGCAGCCCAACTAGGGATAGTCAGCATGGCTTTGTGGAGGGCAGGTCATGTCTTACTAACTTGATTGAATTTTTCCACAGAGGTGACAAAGATGATCAATGATACTTGAGCAGTGGAGGTTGTTTACAAGGATTTTAGTAAGGCTTTTGACAAGGTTCCTCATGGGAGGCTCATCCAGATGATTAAGATGCATGTGTTCAATTCTGCTTGCCAAATTATAGGCAGGATGTGGAGGCTTTGGGGAGGGTGCAGAAGAGGTTTACCAGGATGTTGCCTGGATTAGAAGGTATGATCTATAAAGGGGAGGCTAGAAAAACCCAGTTTGTTTTCTCTGGAGCGGTGGAAGCTGACGGGAGACTTGATAGAAGGCCATAAAATTGAGATGTGTAGATAGGGTTGACAGTCAGAATCTTTTTCTCAGAGTTGAGATGCGTAATATTGGAGGGCATGAATTTAAGGTGAGACAGGGAAGCTCAAAAGTAATGTGAGGGGCAAGTTTTTTTTTAAAACAGAGTGTTAGGAGTCTGAAACACGCTGCCAGGGGTGATAGTGGAGCAGATATGTTGGGGGGATTAAGGGGCTTTTAGATAAGTACATGAATATGCAAGAATGGAGGGATATGGACGAAGGGCAGGCAGAAGGGATTAGCGGAATTGGGCATCATGTTGGGCACAACATCTTGAGCCGAAGGGCCCATTTCTGCGCTGTACAGCTCTATGTTCTATAATATTATGTCCTATTGGACGTCTTAAAGACTAATGACTCTTTGCAGTAAGATGACAGGCACACGACCAGGCAGGGAAGAGGGGGAGACTGACCACGTGCAGGCAAACAGGATTACTTTAGAATCGCATCATGGTCAGTGCATGTTCTATGTAAAACTGTAATTTCAATAACAGCCTTGGACTAACCTCCTCAAATCTCTGCAGCCTCTCCCCCACCACCCCCCCCGCCCCCCAGTGCCTGCTTCTTGCTTAAAATGCAACATGTGCTGCCCAACGACCCAGCTGCTGCACACAGTCACCCACTGCAACGTGTCGAGAAAAACAAGTTGCATTTTGAAAAAGAAACACAACTTTGCTTTTCTCCGTTCCCCTCATTGTTTCTTTTTAATTCAGTAAAAAGGGGGGGGTGGCGGCACATGGCAGGTTTGGAGTGGGTGCCTTATGTGCCCCATCGCTGTCAGCAATGTACCGTCTCCCCTAAAAGCGAAGGGGCACATTGGGCACGCAGTGTCACTATTGCTGTCAGTTGATGCGACACCACGGGCCAAGTCATCTCACCCACCATGCCAGGACGGAGTACAGTAACTACAGAACTCCCTCTGATACAATCATCCAAAACACAAAGCAAAAAGACTGTGGATGCTGGTAATCTGAACCAAACAGAAAACGCTGGGGAAACACTGCGGGTCTGGCAGCACCTGTGGAGGGGTTAAACTATGACCTTTCTTGAAAAATTCTCTTTTGACTTTATCTCCAAAGAAAAGCCAGTCTGGACTCAAAACATAATCTGTTTCTCCCTCCACAACCTGCTGTGATTCTCCAGGTGCTCTCGGTGCACATTTCCCTTTGATACAGTTTAAAAATGTTTCACAAACTTCACACTGACAAGGGTCTGAAGAAGGGTCCCGACCCGAAACGTCAGCTTTCCTGCTCCTCTGATGCTGCCTGGCCTGCTGTATTCCTCCAGCTCCACACTGTTATCTCCGACACCAGCATCGGCAGTTCTTACCATCTCTCACACTGACAAGTGATGGGTTTACAGGGATAAGGAGATAGGGCTGGAGAGTGGGACTAGCTGGGTAGCTCTTTTGGAAGCCAGCACAGACGCGACGGCACGAATGGCCTCCTCTGTGCCGGTTCGATTGCTCTCGAGGGTGCTGCAGAGGATAGGATGGGCAAGTCACTTTACCCCTCCCCCTCTCTGTCCGTCGACCCCCCCAACCCCCCACAAGCTCTCCCGGGGGGGGGGGGGGGGGGGGGTCACTTGAGCCCAAATGGGTTCTATGAAACTGGTCTCAAAGAATGCGAGGTGATCGCATTCACACTTGTGCTGTCCTTGCTGTGTTCTCCCTGTAAGGATGTTCCCCACCTCTGCTCCCCAACAACAGTCTAGAGCTAGGGCCTCAGAACAAGGAGCATTCGAGATGGAGATGGAGGGAAATGTCTTCACTGGTGAAGGCAGTGAGCCTTTGGAATTCACTACCCAGAGGGCTATGGGAGCTCACATGTTTACGTTCATGACAGAAACAAAAATAGATTTCTGGGGGCATTGATGACTACAGGAGTAACACAGTGAATAATCATAATGAATGCTACTCCTACTCCAGCTTCGTTTGTTCCTACATCAACCTTCTGCTTCTGCCTCCACAGAGTGTGTCCGACTTGCTGAGCCCTTTTTGTTTCACGTTTTCAGCGTCTGTGGTATTTTGTTTCCGCGTTTCTGTTGCGCCTTCCAGGTAACGGACCGTCCCAAGGCGGCCAGACTCAGAGACAGGTGGGAGAGATGTTAGAGCAGATGAGCAAGACCGCCATTAAAGGTGATAAGAAGGAGCATCTCAAAAAAAGGGAAACAGGAGGTGGAGCGGTTTAGAGAAGGCATTCCAGAGTCTGAGGCCTACATGACGGAAGACACGATAAAGCAGTGGCCGGAAGGACACACAAGAGCCCCATAAAAATTAGGTGCTGGCCCACAGGCCATTTGGCCCCTCAACACTGCTCCACCATTCACCAAGATCATGACTGAGCCAATTGCTGACAGCAAAGGGTGCAGAATTTTTTTTTTTTTTTAAGTTTAAAGTTCATTCACAGGATGAGAGCATCGCTGACTAGGTCAGTATTTATTGTCCATCCCTAATTGCCTAGAGGGGAGTGAAAATTCAACCACATTGTTGTGGGTCTGGAGTCTCATGTAGGCCTGGAGTCACATGTAGGCCATACCAGGTTTGGGGCAGCAGATTTGCTTCCCTGAAAGGCGTCGATAGATTTGAAGTTAGGGACAGAGAAACTAAATTTGTCTAGCACCAGGAGCCAGCGTTTGGGTCTGCGGGGATGGGATAAACGAGCAAACTGGACTGTGCGTGGACAAAGCCAAGTTAGGAACACCGAGAACAAGTGAGGAAGACAGAAAAGACACATGCTAAACATTATTTACAATTGTAAATAGAGGGCCATTATGACCTCTGGAAGTCTCCCTTCTGCTACCCTCTTGCATTTTGTATGGTACGATCTGTTGGTTGGTTTGCCGAGCTGACTCATTTTTGTGTAAATGAGTTGTCTCCCTTCAAGATGA